GTTGCCCAACTGAGAAGGTGCGACATCTCACGGCACTTAATCTTGCACCGCCATCTAGGCGGGGTTCTCAAGGTCCTCATGCTTGCGTAGTTGCCAGCATCAAGTCTAGTGTTCTTGTTTAAGCAGTTTGCTCTGCGGTTTTCCCGCTTTCCTGTGCCGTCACCAAGCCTTCACTTTACTACCACCGGCTCAACATGGCTTCTAAAGTAATTAGTGCGGCGAAACTTCTCAGCAAGAGGTCGCATGTCATCCCAGGTAATTCTCCATGTAGGATCGTCTAAAGATCAGCACTGATCAAACGACAGGTCAATTCCTCGTGTCTGAACTCTTCTTCGAGGTTCCAAAGGACTACAGCAATCAAGCTTCGGGCGTTCTTCAATTGTTTGGCAGAAGTGTCACCAAGCACGAGAGGCCCATAGTCCCTCCGACAGAAAGTGAGAAAAAGCAGGCAGAGCAGAAACCATGGATGGTGTTTCTGCAAGGCGGGCCAGGGTTTGGTAACCCAGAGCCTCAGGACAGTCCTATCACTCGCACTGCCTTGGATCGAGGATACCAGGTCCTGTTCTTGGACTATCGAGGAGTTGGACTTAGCTCTCCCGTCTCCGCTGCTACCTTAGCCCTCGAGGGCAATGCTCAGAAGCAAGCCGATCATCTCAAACTACTTCGCCAAGACAACATCGTCAATGACCTCGAAGCCGTCAGAGCCTATCTTACTGAAGACTTCCCGGAAGAAAAGAAAAAGTGGTCCCTCTTCGGTCAATCGTTTGGCGGTTTTGTGTCTCTCACCTACCTTTCGAGGTTCCCTCAAGGCCTTCGGGAAGTTTTCCTCACTGGCGGTCTCGCACCTGTCGGCAAGTCGCCCGAGCAGGTGTACGAGGCAACCTTCAAGAAAGTCCAGGAGAGAAACCAAGCCTACTACCAAAAGTATCCCGAAGACATCGAAGCCGTCCATCAGGTGGCTCGTTTCATACAGGAAAAGAAGCAGGTCAACCTCCCTGGCGGCGGGTACCTCACCATTCCAAGACTGCTCACTCTTGGCCTTGCCTTTGGTGCTCATGGTGGACTCGACTCGGTGCATTCGACCATCCTCAAGCTGAAGACGGACTTGGACCAGTTCGGCTTCTTCACGCGCGCGTCCCTGACGGACGTTGAGACCGCAACGTCCTTTGACAGCAACATCATCTATGCTATCTTGCACGAGGCCATCTACACTGATGGACCGGGTTCTGTCTCCAACTGGGCAGCCTACAGAGTCGGCAAGTCCTTGGAGAAGTTCTCCTGGTTGGCGAAGGAACCCGCTATCTCCGAGTTCACAGCCCCGCCTCTCTACTTCTCGGGCGAGATGATCTTTCCCCTACACTTTGAGACATATCCGGAGCTGATTGAACTGCGCGAAGCCGCCGAGATCCTGGCCAAATTTGACCAGTGGCCGGAGTTGTATGACCGAGAGAAGCTGCGCGAGAACACGGTGCCTGTGTACGCCGCCGGCTACATCGACGACATGTACGTCGACTACGAGTTCGCCAAGGACACGGCCGCGCTCGTCAAGGCCAAGGTGTACGAGACGAACCAGCTATATCACTCCGCGCTGCGCGCCAAGACGGAAGAGGTGATGAGGGAGCTTTTCAAGCTTCGTGACAACCCAATCGACTAGTTTGTACCTCTATTCTTCACTTCACGCATGTACATATCTAGAATCGCCTCAAATGGGTATCTTCGCAGCCGTCCTTTTCCAGAATCCACATCTCTTCTCTAGTTGCCCCAGGTCAGTGGTCGCGAACCCCTCAGGGTTGACGACCCATTCCTTGCTGTCCTTGAGGGGCGGCACACCAGCTTCCGTTGATGCCGACAGTTTGAGCGCATTCGGGTCACCCGTTTGGAAGAAAGACGCAAACGCCCCTGCAACAGTAAGTGTTAGTGATGGTATTTTACCGTACGCAACATGCAATCTTGTGTACTCACCGGCATAGCCCTGGTAGCGTGCTGGGTCCGTCTTTTGCACGGCATTGACCTGATTCCACTGCATATCTGTTAGCAACCCACCGACTAGATGCTTCCCTGAAGAGGCACCAAAACTCACCCAGACGGTATCGCTAGCATGTTTGGACGGGTTGAGTGAGTATTCGCCCAACCAACCCCCCTTCGGCGCTGCGCCCGAAAACCAAAACGCCGGACACGACAGAACCACGTCCCGGTAAATGAGTCCGGCCCGCACATACGTCGTGTTATACGAAATCGTCTCCGTCGTGCCAGCCGCAGGATACAGCCTCTTGACGCCCTCAATCTCGCAGTCGCCAAAGCCAGGGAGGAACCCCCTCAGCCACTTGTCAAACGAGGCCTCGCTCGAGTTGAACGGCGGAGACCCGACGTCCGTCGCGCTCTGGAGCCCGCCGGGCAGGAAATTCTCGCCCTCGTGCGTGTTGTGCATCGCGAACGCCAGGTCCATGTTCACCCGCCCCGCCGTGGCGGCCTCAGAGAGCGGCTCTCTGAGGAACTCGCCGTCAATGACAGGTGACCACGTGAAGGACGACGTGTTCGTGACATGCGAGCTCGAGATGGCGAGGCTGGCGTCCCGGATCGTCTGCACGTCCGCCTTCTTCAGGCAAGCCAGGCTATCCTCGGCGCCGGCGCATCCCGTACGGGAGGCGAGCTCGTCGTAGAGAGCCTGTGCCTCGGGGCTGTCGTAAGCGTACGTCTTTGGCCAGAACGGGCTGCTGGCCATGGCCTTGCGGAAGAGCTTCTGCTGCCCCCCGCGGCCGATGGCCTGCGCCAGCACGCTGCCGCCGCCCGCAGACTGGCCCCAGATGGTCACGTCGTCCGGGTCACCGCCGAACTGCTTGACGTACTTTTTCGTCCACTTGAGTACGGCCTCCTGGTCCAGCAGGCCCGGGTTCAGATCCGACTTTGGGTCCGCGGCGATCTGCTTCCCGGGGAGGAGGCCAAAGGCGTTTGTGCGGTAGTTTGGGTAGATGAACATCATGTCGGACGAGCTTGAGACGTTGAGGATCGGGTAGGCCGAGGGCGGGATGCTGAAGTAGGCCGAGCCCTGGATGAAGCCGCCGCCGTAAAAGGTGACGACGACGGGCTTCAGGGGTTGGTCTTGCGTCCAGGGGCGGGAGTAGAGGCCGAGGTACAGACAATCTTCGGAGCCGTTGACCTACAAATGCGCCCAGGATCCAGTCAGCACAACGTCTTCTTCTTTCGATGACTCAACAGCCACGAAACCACAAGATTGAGAACATACCGTCCGTTGAGGGCACATATCAAACGGCTGGCTAGAGTCATACACGACACCCTCCACCGCCGCGGGGGGCTGCGGCCCCCGGAACCGGTTCTCACCCACGGGAGGCGCCGCGTAGGGAATCTTCTGCCAGTACGAGATGTTATACTGGTCCGAGTAGGCGCCCTGGAAGTTGCCGTAGTCGAGCTCGGCCAGGAGGTGATTCTGCTCCGCCTGCGCCTGCAGAGCGGGGCCGGAGGTCCTAAAGGCCGCCGTCAACGCCGTGATCACCGTCGCTACGGTTCCTGAGATGGGCGCCATTGCGGTACACGATCGTCGGGGAGGGTGGAAGATCCTCCTTTCGGCGTGGGGTGGCGGTGTTCAAAGAGGGAGGAGGGTAACTTCGATGAGCAGCGGCGGACTCGACTCGACTCTCACGAGGCTTCAGCAGGAACGCCGGAAACGAACTGGATGGGCTTTAGCTGACGCTGGTGGCTGGAAGACGATTATTATACCCATGTAGAGACAGTTCGCCCCCCGTTGCAACCGATGGCCGCCCCCCAGGGGAGCCTAAGGAGGAGGAGGAGGGGGTCAACCAATGGATGTAGGTAATAATCTAATCCAAGCCTGTCTGCCCAATCTACACTAGTTTGCATTTCCACCATACGTAGTACATCCGCCGTCCGGGAACAGAGGACCAATTCGGGGCCTGTTCCGGACGAAAGCATCGCGAACAACCCCCAAGAAGCAGGAAGAATGTAGAAGCTGTCATTGTTGCTTTCCTTGTGCCTGGTTCCGTGTGTGGGGTAGCTAGCGCCGATGGTGGGGATCTTGGGCGGACAAGGTTTCCCCTCTTGATGAAGCTGTTTTTCACTGGCTTCCCCGGAGCTGCGGAGCTTCGAGCAGCGCTGAACAGCCTGTGAACCAGTGTCCCCGACTCCCCCAGAATCAGCAAAGCTGGGGGTGACGGGGGGGTTGGGGTTCGTTCGGGGGCGGTGGGCTCGCGCCGCTCGGTATTTCTGCTCAATCATGTCCCGAAAGTATTCGTATGGATGGCAGATTCGACCATGCAATTTCTCCGCCGCAACCATTTACTTTTTTCTCTTTCTACTTGTGATGGATCCAATGGCATCAATGACTCTCTTACCCTTCGCTTCTGCCGACTCGCTTGACACTCGCGGGCCCGCGTGGATGCGACGGCTAGAGTCTGTCCTAATATCGCGATGCAACAAACCCTACCTTACTAACCTTCCACTACCTATTCATTCCAAAATTGACCGACCGCTTTTACCCTGCCGCCACGGCCCCGGCGCAACGCAGCGCAGCGCGCCGAGCCGGGCTGCTGGCAAGAAAAAAAAGGGTCACATGGGCCAAAGACCTGCATGGATTTTGGTTCGATCGGATAAACGGGATGCGCCTTTGTTTTATTTCAGTAATTTCTTCCCTCGCTTTCCATCCAAATGACGGGGTAATATCTCTTTCCACAATGAGGGACCCGTCGCCGTGGGACAAAGGCTCCCGAACATGGGGCTCCATCGAACAGAGTTTCTTTCGCCTTGACCACTCGACCACCCATGTAGCAAGCAACGTCTTCGCTTCCCTCCTTTTTCCCAACAACATACAGATACAACCGCCTACTACCTAGTCGTGTCGACGACGATTTCTTGCCTTCATGTGCCGCCGTCTCCATATTCTCCTCTTTGTTGAACAAGACAACCATGGCAGACAATCCCTATAGGGCAGACTCCATCGAGAGAAAGCCGTGCCTTTTCCTAACCACTTAAACACCAAACGGTCCTGGATGCCAATGATGCGGCGGCGGAGGCGGCGGAGGCCGCATATGAGGATGCATAGGCGGCGCAACCGGCCACATAGGCATGACGTGAGGGTGCGTCGCCCGTTCCATGGACGGTAGCGCCCTACTGCCTAGATCCTCCTCTCTTCGAATGGCTGTCTCTCGGAGCATAAGAGCCGCAACTTCTGGATGCCCAATCAGAAATTCCGACGTGGACTGCGGCGCTCGTTGCCAGAGCAGAGGCTGTAAGAAGCCAACGCGCGCAAAGATCATCCTCAATAATGGGTCAGATTCAGGGACGCCGGCGTAGAGCTTCGAACAAAGTTGCAACACAATCGACTGCGCTGCATCAGGTCCGGCGGATTCGAGCATGTCGATGCAGTGACGCTGGATCGCAGTTTTGAAGTCATCCATGAGGAATTTATTGGCAACAATGTATACCTCTAGACTTAGCTCGTATGTGAGCAGAAAAGTCCGCATGTCTTGGCCTCGTATACGGTCGCCATCCGCATACTCGTCGTTGGTAGAGACTGGCAAACCGACCGAGGGCGTTGACTCTGGCGGTGTGATGACTTGCTGTCGGCTACGGCGTCGGCTGTGTGGCTGTAAACCTAGGGGCCGCACTGGTGGCATAGGGTTGATGATGTGCGGCGGAAGGTGGCCCGGAATCGGCCTTGCGCGACCAACGCCACAGTTCCAGCATGGCGGGCCGATGGTTGTGGTGCAGCGCGGACATCTGCAATCTGGGCGGTGTGTACCTGGCTGTTTCCGGTTCATGCGGTCCCATTGCCGCTCCCGCCGCCGTTGCCGCCTCTGCGCCCGGATTCGACTTCTGGCACTGGCCTCACTGGCCTCCGACGATGACACCTCCGACTCCGATTCGCTTCGGTAGCCAGAGTCTTGTGCTTTCCCTCGTTCTGATGCCTCGACAGCCAGTGCTGACGCTGCTGGCTTGATAGGAATAAAGCTTCTTTGGTAGAGGAAGGCGACGAGAAAGTGGAAAATGGCCGGATCCTCTTCTGGAAAGTCCATGGATTGGGCCTCAGCTTCTCTGAAATCTCCGCAAAGGGCTTTTCGGAAATATTCCGTCGCTAGCAAGATATTTCTGTGTACATGGAAAATCTCTTGATTCGGCGCTCGTCCAACTCGCAAGGGGACGATGGTCGAACTGTATCGACCGTCTGCTGAACTGAGCCACAAATCTTCGCTCGGGCTAGGATCATCCTTCCGTTCGTTCTCTTCATGTGTCTGATCGATGACAACGACGTCCGGGAACCCGGTCGGTCGTGCTCTCATAACATCGCCCAGCGTTCGAACGCCATCATCTGCATCAGCACTGCTCCCGCCAGCACTATGGGCATGGCTCTGAGTGGACATTTCGCAATGCAGTCAGTGTACGAGGTTGAATCAGTTCGACTCTGTAGGAACTGTTGCGAGGCCGGACCTCACGATCTTGTTTTCTGATGAGCTGTAACAGGTGACCAGAAGAGAAAATGAACAAGTCGAGTCGAAGAACCACGAGAAAACAAAAACAAGAAAGAGAGAGAGGAACATGAGAGCGCATTTCGGAGACAAGGAACAACCGCTTCATATAGCTTAGACTTGTACCAGACCGAGGTCAGGCAGCCACACCCACAGCTATGTGCAAATGTCGAACAAGACGGATGAGGGTGGGTAGCTCGGTGGGCGGTGGCTGTCAGACCTTTGTTGGTCGCGAGCCTTCTGGGCGCGACCGCCAACTACCTATGGCGAGGCGCACCTCGGTCACTAGAGGTCCGCCGGACAAAACCCTTTCGGGACAGAGTCAGATTCTTTGCTTTTCCCGTCTCCCCTGCTGTGTAACTCGCGCATGAACGGTTGTGTTGTCGCATAGAAGAATCGATTGCATGTCAGGTGCCACCCGGGATTTGCGCTGGGTTTGCCATTCCTAGGTCGATCGGTTGTGGCTCTATTTCTCTAGCGAACATTCCCAGGAATGCCACCCACCTCGGTCTGCTTCCTATGCAATCCGTCGCCGTGGGTGTCTAGGACCCAGGTCAGTCTTGGTGTGGGTGCCTGTCTGGACCTATGCGCACCTCCGGAACGGGACGCAGGCAAATGCAGCACCGTACTGCGGGTGCCATGTGATGAACCTGAGTTGCGTTTGGTTGTCTTACACCGTTGCACCTTTTTTTCGTGTTGGTTGCTGTCGGTCTACGGCTTTGTTCCAAAATCGCGGCTAGTCAGACCACTGAGAAGCCACGGGGACCCAGAGTAGCGGTGGGAGCGGCCCTCTATCACACGCACTTCGCGTTAATATCCGGCCCTGCGAATGCGGTGGGAGGGGCCACCATCCGATGCAATGCAGGTTAGGCATCTTCGTCACCAATTATTGGCGGATGTGCGACGGCATGCATGCGCATCTATTGCGGGAGGTAGTAAAAAGAGCCTATGAGCACCATAGCCAAATGCCCGGGTACGATGTACCAGCTTCGTAACGGCCGCGGTGCTACCAAGCTGCAAGTAAAGAGCGTGCTGTAGGCCGCTCCAACCGTTGCCAACAACCTCCGACATGTTGGTCATTCTTCCTCATAGACTTCCTGTTGCATTTGAATACCTGTACGCAAGTATAGTCAGCTGCTGTGCTAGCCCGACTTACAGTCCACCAACGGCGCCGATATGTCTCTCGGTTTGACTTACGCCACAGTCGGTTGGCCGAATCCGAGATGACCCTGGCCTTGGCCATGAGTTTTCCTTCGTATTTGATACTTTCCTGCTCCTTGATGCGCAATTTACTTGGTTGAGCCTGTCAAACAATGAGGTTGTTATCAATCAAGAGTTCCGTCGCCTGCTTACCTGCATCAGAATTGGTAGGAGCTCGTTGGGATCAGCATTTGCGATGGCCGCAATGCTGCGAAAACCGTTCTCCCAAAAGACTCTTCTGTTCCACAAAGTTAGACGATATTCCGACGCATTCCCCGGTCGCGCAACTTACGCTGTCCGACTCTTCACAAAAGTGATCTTTGCCAAGGCCAGCAAGTCGGCTTTTGCCCCAGCTCTTAAACGGTCCGAAAAGTGATCTAATGCAGCAGACATAACGCTGGCCGATGCGATTAGCGATTGATCTACTACCCGTGTGGCGAGTAGTTCGACTTACCCCCAATCCATGTATTCGCAGAATTTGATCATTCCAGCCGCAAACCCATTGCAAGTTTGGGATAGGGTTTGAACGGCACCTCGCGGCACATCGTACTTTCGCGCCACAACGTGGATGGGCATCTCGTTACACAGGTCTCGTAATTGAAAGGCCATGTAAAACCGACGGTGTACACGAACTACTTCTTTCTCCTCAGCAGTCGTTTCTTTGAGTGCACTACCCTGCGCTCTGATCACGGTTAGCGACATCAAAAAAGGGCGCGAGGGGTACCTACAGCCGGTTGATTACAGCACGCTTAAGCCCAAGGAAACCGAGAACTCTATGTCCACTTTCATCCATATTGTCCATCTCGTTCCTGAAGACTTGCCAGTTGATGTTGATGCCAGAGTCCTGGACGGGTGTGAAAGTGTAAAGGATATGCATCTCTCCGTCCATAACAAATGCTTGAAGCGCCCTTTCCAGTTCCTTGTGGATGAAGACACCATCTTCAGGATCCAATGCAGAAGCCACAATGGCCCTCCCAAGTTTTGTCGGTTGGTAGTTCTCGCAGTCGTCTACGGACACAAAGCCCATGTTCGTCAGATTTCTGAGGCTGACCTCGACGCAGTCTTGGAGGGACTCCAGAGGCCCAGAGTGGCTTAGCAAAGTCTTTGTTATGTACTCGTCCAGCGCATCTCGGCTTGTTGCTAACCGTATGGCAATGACTTCCAAAAGTGCTCTGAGTACTGTTAGCACGATGGATACTACTGCGCGTTTATGCCGAGTCTCTGACCTTTGTATTCGCCTTCTGTCCGTCATCAACCCGCTTGTGATTTGCGGTATCTCAGCGTGCATCAAGTCGACAACCTGCTCAAGATCGTCCTTTCGGCAGCACAGGTAGGTTTCTCCGACTTCGTCCTTTCCCTTGCGACCGGCCCGTCCACGCATCTGTCTGAGCATCGATGGCCCTACAAAATCTCTTCCCATACGAGCATTGTGAAGAATTACTCGTCGTGCCGGCCTCAAAGCTGTCAGCAAATCAACACACGATTGTGCCAAACCACTGGACTTACAAGTTTATGCCAGCTGCTAAGCTACATGTTGCTACACACACTTTGAGTGTCCCAGCATCGTATGCATTGGCGATGATGTCTCGTTCTTCCGTGGTAAGACCCGCCTGCAACATTTAGCTACTGATTCGATGACACGGCATCTAATGTAAACTGACATCTGAATATGATTATGTTAGTTCTTAAGCTTGTCAAAGTTTCGTGGTTGGACTGACGGTGAAATGCAACGCCCATGGGTACCGTCTCTTCCAGAACAGGATCGATACCTGTTCCGAGACTACGCAACTCGGCCATGAGTTCAGTCCTCTTCTCAACTAGACCAGATTCGAGCTCGTCTAGAGCAGGCATGACTTTGGCAATCCAACGGGCGTCTGCTTCACAGCCGTAACGACTGCTGGCGAAGACCAAGGCTCCGTAGCCAGCCTTAGCAGTCTCGCTAGCAAGTGAAACAACAGCGTTGAGTACGGGATCTTGGAATTCCTTGTGACCAGAAGGTTCTATGCGTCTTGTGGCTCTTGATCCCGTCTTTTGAGTGACTGTATTAAGGTTCTTGGCCGTCTTCAGCAGCTCGCTTGTCGTTGTCGCTGGGTATATGTTGCCTTCGTAAACGAGATGTTCTTCGATCGGCACTGGACGATAGCGCGTTTCATACGAATGAGCTCCCAGCCACGTAGCCAAGAGACTGATGTTCTAAGATGTCGTGTCAGAATATGCCGTGGCTGAAAATCTGCAGCAAGATCGCACCCACAGACATGGTAGCGCTCATGCCGATGATTTGCACCGGTTGAGGCAGGGTGAGCAACTTTGTGCCCATTAATTCCATCAGATACCCGCGATGGTCATCGTCGATCATGTGAAGTTCGTCAAGGACAACTGACTTTAAATGTTTAATGGTGCAATCATCTATCGCCGTATTGACAAGTGCGTTGGCCTGTCGGGTCAAAGTTAGCTGAATCCAAGGCGTAGGCCGTATGCTTCCCACCTTCTCTATGGTACACACGCCAATGTCAAAGTCGGACCAAGTTGGCTTAATCTTGCTTCCCCCAAAGAACCCAATGACCCTGATCGTGCCTTCGTCTGCTCGCTGCCTCCAGATGCGTTTTTCGTCGTCAATCTCATCTTTTGGTTTCATTACGCCCTGGACGATGTTTCGAAGCCAACGGACCTTTTCCTGTACAAGGGCGACATAGGGTAGAACCAAAAGGACCTTGGCGTTCTTTTCCTCGAGCACCCTCTTCAGCATCAAAACTGTCGTCTAGTCAGTCCTGTGTCAGCTAGAATGATGGACGAACTTGCCATCAGCCACGAGAGACTTTCCACCTCCGGTCGGAGCACTATAAACGAGGTTTCTTTCGCCAGCGAGAAGCCCCGGTCCGCGAAGGCATGCTTTTTGCCATGGATACATTATTTTGATACCCAGGCTGTAGAAGTTCCGGACCAAGGAACGTGGAAGTCCATAATACGGATGGGCAAGAGCGAGTAAGGGATCCGAAGACGACGAAGGCGTGGGCTGGAGCTCTCTTCGCTGTGTGTATTCAGATGGACCTTGAGTAGCCGCCGGGCTCAATGAGATGATCGGGCTCGCGACAAGCTTCGGGGGCCCAGGTGGTAAACTTGATGCTCTCTGCACTAGCGAGGTGTGACTGGGCAAGATTGTTGGTTTCGGCGCAGTGGGATGGGCAGACTCAGCACGAGGTCGTTTCTGCCCAGCAATTGTGGTTGTCACGGCGTGATATCTCCGGCCTTGCTCCTCGGCAACCTCGACGGATGTTTTGTGCCAGATGCTGTTATTAGTGGCCATTGTGAAGCAAGATGTCACCAAACGTCAAAATGCAGTCCATTGAAACAGGGCAAATCCAAATTTGCAGTTAGATGCAAAAGCCAAGGCAGCAAAAGGACGAGCAGAGAAGTGAAATGGAACGGGTCCCAGCATCAGACTTGAATGTTGTTGTGCATGGGACTGCATCGGCAGGCAGCTACTTCCTGTTGGTGATGCAACGCTTGTTGCTAAAAATTGGGGAAAGCGCGTCCTGCAGAACGTGTGGAAGGCAGCAGCAGGGATGACCCGCTTCTGCTGGGCCACGCGAAATCATGTGTTGGAGGATGTGGTTTGGTTACCTCAGCATCAGCACCGTGACGGAAGACGGCCGGTGTGGCAGGTATTACCTCATGTGCCGCCCGAAATTTAACCA